TGGAGGGCGTTCAGGCGCGGCTGCGTGTGGTTAACGCAAAGGTAGACAAACTACTGGCCAGCATGTCCAACCGAAGGAAAATATGTACGATTGTGATTCTCATCGTCGTCTTAGTGATTCTTGCTTCGGTCCTGTTCGGATGACCCACTTCTTCATATCATATTCCTCCTCCCTTTGCTTTTTTTTTGTCTCGATCTCTGTGTTATTTCGTTGTGGTTCTATTGTCTAGATCTTTTTAATTTCTTACTTTTTATTTAAAGTGTGTTGGAGGATGTGAACCTTTGCAGTCGTTTTTCTTTGTGTTAGCTGCCGCCCTTGTTGTCACGGTGGACGCAGTCTCGTCCGCGCAGATGTTATTATGCCACCTGTTTCTCTGCGTTTGTGTTTCTTATATCTCTTGGGGGGGAGAAGGAGGAGGAGAGGGGCTGGTGGTAGTGGTAGTGGTAGTGGTAGTGGTGGGAGAGAAGGGAGGGGTGGAAAAGGGGCGAAAATGGAGGATGCAGTGACTCTTTCGTCGACGCTTCGACGTGCCTCTCCATTGACCCGGCGTCGGGCGCTGGTGATTCTTTTTGCTATGCGCAGTTGTGCACAGAAACATGGTATTACCCTTTCGCTGGCCTCCATTACTACTGCTCTCGAGTTCTCGATGGCAGGGAAGCCGATACGCTTCTTGTTTGCCACTGGAGGCCACGCCTCTGTCCTCCGTAGCCACGACAGAGGTGGCACGTGGCGGATTGCATACCGGGTAACTGGGACGAGCAAAGACCCCATAAATAAACCCCTCTCAGCCAATGATATGACCGCCATGGAAGACCTGGTAAGGCTCCTACCGTCATCCGAATCTGAGATGAAACAGAAAGAAGATTCAAGAAGTCACTGTTCCCCAACGGCTTCGGCGACACAAATAACACACGTCACAGCACTGAACAGTATGGTTGCTGTGTGTGGCAGCCATGCATTTCTGGCGGTTTCTGGTGATAGAGGAATGACCTTTGTTGCTGTGGAAGAGGGGGCCATATATTCATGCATGAAGGATGAACGGAGCGCATCAAGCGGGTCCGTGCAGGTTGAAGGAGTATCCTTTTTGTCAGAACAATTGCTTCTTTTTTTTTGCAAGACTCAGCTATTTTCAATTGAGCTTATTCACCACCACCATCATCGGCGTCAGCAGCCGCAGCTTGGTGCTGTTGCGCTCGGCCACGTCAGCCTAGTTAAGGTGTTTGCAACCCCCATTGGATGCTTGAAAACCCTTTCTCAGGGTACTCATTGTATGCGCGAGTTGTTTGTGTCTACAAAAGGGGCTTTGCACTATTCGTCTGATGGGGGACGTTCCTTTTTCACGTTTCCGCACAAGCTTGGTGTCATCCGCGTTCTTGAATCGATGGATATGGTTATTCGGCGTTGTGAGGTTCCCCAGTTGCCGCAAGCGTTGGTAACTCGCATGCTGTGCACAACAGCCGAATACATGAAAAACAGTAAGCCGGAAAAGTATACCTACAGTGCTATTGCTCATCCTTTGGGTGAAGACGGCAGCGAAAATGCTGAGCAGGGAGTAGTTGACTCGGGTAAAGTGATGATGACAGTTGCTCTTCCTTACTGCACGGAAAACGTGCACTATCGAGTACTCTTGGTGGGTGGAATTGGAACGTCGATACTGCCGTACGACTACACAGCTCTGTTGTTCATTGCGGCGACATTAAATAGTTCAACTAATTGTTCTATCCGCCTTGGATCCTTAGCGCAAAGTGTGGAATACATGCCGTATATCCGTTCAGGAGCGGCGGAGCCCACCTCGATTGCCCTCTGCAGACGCCCAGGATCGAACGGGTGCGTGCTCGCGCGAAGCAATGCTTCTGGTGTCAGTTTGTCGAGCGACATGGGTAAATCGTGGACAACTCCTACACAAGCATATACAGTGGCTGTTGTTGCTATGGATGGTGGGGAATTTGCTTGCTTCAACCGGCGAAATGTGGTGAGCACCATCAATGGTAGCGGCACTGACATTCACTCTGTGCCAGCTGAGCTGCGCGTGCCCTATTTGACCGATGCTGCGGTGATGCTGTGACAGCGATCTTGCTCCGTTTTCCCCTTGGTCTTGACACTAACGAACGAAAACACGTATTTACATACATACACACATACACACACATTACAAGCAGAAGACGAAGTGTTTCGGAAAGGTGGATAAAAAAAAAAAAGTGAACGGGGGCAGGCGAGACCCTACTGATGGGTCTGCTGTGTCTTCGAGGAAACCTCACCAGCCAAAAGAACATCCTGGACGATTCTGGTCCATCGGAGCAGGCAGAGCGAAGTATCAAAATGGCGGCGAAGGTATTGGCATTGACATCCACTTCTCAATTGGGCTCATCTGAAGCTCTTGCTAAGGGAGCCACAAAGAAAGTGCAGGGACAATATTCTATTGAAAACTATTGCGTCAAAGATTCGCAGGAATCGAGAACTTCGTTGTGGTCCGTACCTTATTTAAACCACACTGAATATAGATGCTTCGCAGGTTTTTTTGCGGGCAGTACGGCAGCGTTGGCTCTGCAGTCGTGCGAGGATGCCAATATGCCTCACCACCTCATTGTTGCCGGCGAGGATGGGGGTCTTGTGCTTGCCAACTACGAGACCGGAGAGACGGTTTGCCAATGGCATAGTGCTCATAGGCGTGATGTAAATGCATTGACGAGGCCGTTGAGCAGTGGCGTTTTTGCTTCAGCTAGCCGTGATCAGTTAGTAAAAGTTTGGGACCTTCATCGGGAGGAAGCAGTTTGCGAGCTACGCGGCCACACGGCGAACGTCACAGGTGTTACAATGCTTGCGGACAGCAACTTTTTGGTGTCGGGAAGTCGCGATAATACGATTCGTTTGTGGGATTTGGAGCGAGCTGAGGAAGTACAGTGTGGCGACATCAAGCAAAACGTTGTTCAATTTGTGCGATGGGTGCCTCAATTGCACTGTGTGGCGCAAGGTGGCGAGGACCTCACGTTGCGATTGTGGGATGTGCGCATGAGTGCCAGCGGTCGGAATGCCCTGGGATTGAGGTTGGCTACCACACTTACTTGCATCGACTATCATCCCGTATGTTGCGAGCTGTTACCCGGCGATGGGGGGAGTCGCCTCTTGACGGGGCATAATGGGTTCAATGGGCACGGAGCATATGTGCTGCAGTGGGACCTGCGTATGCAAAAGTATCTACGAACGTTCCACGGTCACAGCGGTACGGTTCGAAGTATACGAGCCCACCCTCAACCGGAGTTAACCGTGGCCCAAGAGTTCTTGAGCACAGGCGACGATGAGTCGATGATTTTCTTTTCTTTGGACGCTGCTTCTGCGGAAACAACGGTGACTGCCGACCCGAGGAGTATATTCAAAGTCAACGAGGGTCGCGTGACTTGTTTAGATGCGTGCGCAAATGGTGACATTTTTGCCTCAACGTGGGGCGGGGCCGTGCTGGTACTGCGTTCCACATCCCCGGACAGTGAAGTTAAGGTGCCTGTGAAACGGTACAGGTGTTTTGGGGCAAAGGGGGCGCCAAACGGAGACGTGTGGTGTGACGGATGACTATGCGAAGAACACTATCAAATGTCAAATGAAAAACAAGGGACACTTGATTGCAGTGCGTGGGTCACGGTGGTTGGACCCCTCATATTGTGTCACTTAACTTCTGCTTTAGTCGGCGAAGCTCTGCAGGTGTGTGTGTGTTTGTGAATACATACATACAACTTGTATGACGCTCTTCACCCCCATCCTCCCTCTCTTTACTGTGCATATATACATATATTTATTTATTAGAGTCGGTTTCTCCTTGTACAGCTTTGTCTACAGTAATAAACGAAAGGGACATTATTCTAAGTAATGATAGGGTATGCGGTTGTGCAATCGGCTGAGGATGTGATTGGAGCTGCTCGCTCTCTAGCCGTAAAGGGAGAGCATGTGGAGGCGGTCTACGCCGCACACGAACGTCTGGAGGAGGATTTGGCGAACCTGCCAGTGATGATAGCTGAGTTGAGAAACCCCACATCCTCTTGCTTGGATCCATGGGTGGGCGTCTCTGCGACACTGGAGTCTCTGTGTCATGAGGTGGAGCTTTGTTTGCAGCTATTTAGCATAAGTGTTAGGGTTCAGCGATATAAGGCCCTGCGGACGGTTGCGGCCCTCTACGATCAACAGAAGTCTTCCGCTGACCGTTTGCGGGGCTTTTTCCTCATTATAAGTGCATCCTTTACGGTCGATGCCACTGTGACTCCAATGCCTGCCGTAATTCTTCGGAAATTCGCACAGGTGATTCGCCCGTTTGACGCGAGCCAGGCCGCAGAGTGGTTGAATGTCGGGATTCATAGCATGCTCGATGCGGCACGTTCTTCACAGGTGCCTGCTTCCTGTCCACCATTGGGGAAGCTTAGTTCCCTCTCTGTGTTTGCGGGGAATGGGGCGGCTGCTGCGCAGGTCAAGGCAAAGGGCGCAGCGACATCTCTCATGGTGTGTATGTTGACTCTTTTGATAAAGTGCAGGGCTGAGGCGGGGGAGGCGACGATGGAAGTGCACACGCGGGAGAGTGAGCTGCGTGAATTTTTGGAAGACGACGTCCTGAAGTCTTTGATGCAGTTTGAAGGCGTCTGTGCCACAACAATGCAGAAGAAGAAGCAACATATCCAGGCGAGAATGGAGCGACGTAGCGCCACCAAGCGTGCGACACCCGCACCGAAAGCAGAGCGGGTTGACTCAAAAGACACCTGGGCGGGCACAGGTGGCTGTGCCACATCTTATCTGCAGCGGTTGCGCCAGAATCTGGAGCACCTTTGGGACCCAGAATGGAGGCGACACCCTGCTCGAATTGTGATGGTTGTCGCTGGAGTGATTCTTCTCCTCCTTCTGACACGGCTCTTGGTTTCCCTCGTGGCTCGTGGAATGCAGAGTTTGAAACGTACACCGTACGGGGCCAAAAAAAGACTTACTCTATGAAACCAAATAGAAGGGGCAAATTTTTGTTATTGGTGCTCTTGTGGGTTGATTTCGTTTGAAGAAAGTGATTGTCGGTGTTGTTGTGACCTTAAAATGTCATATTCCGTGTGTACATTTCTTTACTTGTATTCATGTATGATGTGGACGGCGTGATGATGGGACTGCCGCTCGCTTTTTGAGATTGTTTTCCTTTGTTTTCTCCTATTGCCCACTACTATAGGTATTATTACTATTATCATTGTTGGTACACACGGGGAACCATGCTTGCGAAGAGATACAGGGTTCTCATTATTTTTATTCTCTTTACGCTTAACAATGGTTTTGCTTGGCTCATGTTTGATCCTGTGGCGGCTCGTCTAGAGAGGAATATAAAGGGGTTAACGGTGGGTCAGCTGCAAGTTCTCTCTTCTTGGCAACCGCTGATGTTTCTTTTGATGTTCCTTCCCATGATGAAAATGGTGCTACAGCCGGATGGACTACGAAAGGCGGTGTGTCTTGGTGTCACATGTGAGCTCATTGGAGCAGCATGTAAAACAATCGGCTCCCTTGCCCGAAGGTCATATGCGGGTTTGGTGTTTCTTCACGTGGGGCAGATTTTTAGTGGCGTAGGGTCTCCTGTGGCGACAGGATGTGTCTCAGCCCTCTCCGCTGTTTGGTTTAGCCCAGCTGAGAGAACGAGGGCCACTGCTGCCGCGGTACTTTCAAATAGTGTGGGAAATGCGCTTGCCTACGTACTTGTTCCAGCCATTACGGAGTCTTCGTCTTTTGTATGCGTTAGTGTTTATGAGATGGTGATGGCCGCTGTTGCAGCCATTCTTGTATGGTTTTGTTTTCCTTCGCATAAGACTTCCGTTGTGACGGGAGGGATCGTCGAGCCAAGCCCAACTGACGGTGACCCCAGCAATGAAAGGTCCCTCCGGAGCCAGCTTCGTCAGATGCTTGGTACACCCTCAGTTGTCTTTCTCCTAATCATATATTCATGGTCTAGTGGAGGCTTCTCTGCGTGGATCTCCCTGTTTGACGAAACATACAACAGATTTTTTTTGGAGGGCGTTATTGGCATTATGAGCTTTGCTGGCATGGTAGCATACGTCGTCGGCGGTTTGGTTTCATCGTGGCTAACAGACCTTTACTTCAGTCGACAGATGAAGTATGTGATTTTCCTTTGCATCACCTGCAATTCTGTGAGCAACATCTTGTTTATAGCCTCCGCCCCTAACAATGACGGATACTCGCTGTATCCGCCTGGAAGAGCATGGATTAGCGCGGTCACGGCATTGTGTGGGTTTTGGAATGGAGCCGCCGCCCCATTGTTTTATGAACTGGTCGCCGAAATTTCGTATCCGGTGGATGAGGGTGTGAGCGGGGTCGCTGTTTCTGTTTGTGAGAATCTCGGGGCGCTGTTTTTCTACCAGGTTGTTTCGCGGTTTTACACCGGGGAGTCCATGAGCGTCGCGTACTCCATTGGTATGACTGTTGCAGTAGCCCTTTCAGCCGCGGTGCGACAGAGGTACAACAGATCTTACCACGCTTATCTGAAGTCGTCTCAACAAGCTGCTTCTGTGACTGTCATGGAAACAGATGCGCATGTTGCATAACACATTTGTATAAGTGTGTGTGTGTGTTTTTTTTTTTTTTGCATTCTTCTCCCACGTAAATTTTTTCCTTCTGGGCGGAGGGTGTGGAAGAGGTGCGTGGTTGGCTTCCACCTTTTGGTGGATTGCGATGAAATCTTCGCACTGCCGTTGACTCCCTTCTTGGGGTTGTGACTCCCGGGTTTTCGTGTTGACGCTACTCTGCGTAGCTGTGCTCTCTGGCTTCTCGTTTTGTTTGCTTGGCTTGCTGCGACTCGTTGGCGTGTTAAAAAAAAAACGCGGACCGTGTGAGCGTATATGCGCTGCCCGTTGGGATGCTGTGTTCTCCCGCGTGGAGCAGGTCTTCGCGTGGGTGCATCACTCGCGCATCTGACTGGTGAGCGAAGCACGAGCCGCTGCAGTCCTCGCGTGACGTTGGCGGGCGCGGCGTCAATCACTTGCAACCTCGAGTCCTCCCAGTGCAGTGGCCCGTGATTTCCAGCGTGTTGCCACTGCAGTGACTTAGTCGGTCTCAACGATGTAGACGTGAAGCCTTTACGGGCGCGCCGCGGGGCTTTGGGCGAGTGCTAGAATAGCGGCGAGGCACACACCTCCGTGCTTACGCGATCTGGGGAAGACGCCGGCCTTCATGCCTTCCGCGTGGGTGCTTCCCAGCAGCGTCGTAGATGATAAGCAAACAGAGTGTGTGGGTTTCTCCCGCATGAGAACAAATATAATGAGGGAAGAAGAGAGGAAAAAGATAATGTGTCGTGAGCAAATTGGGTCCCGCCGACTTTATCAGCACGAGGCTGCGTCCTTTGTTGTCCTGGTTGTTTTTGCCGTTAGTTGCTTGTGGCGGTGTGCAGGTCAAATGTGTTGTGGATCCATAATATGTGCGTGCGTAGTTGGGGGAAAATCCGCAAGCGACGAAAAAGCCGGCGCGGTGAATTATGGGCGGTGGTGTCCCCAGACACACATTTGTGCATTATCATTATGAAAGATTATTTTTTTCTTTGCTTGCTTCTTATCTGTATCCTCGTCTTGCTTGCCATCACCAGCCCTGGGAAGGATAAGGTGTGGTCTGGGGAACACATAACGGAACTCACAATTAGAAGTCAAAGATGCGACGAATCGTTAAACGTGTGACACCTGATTCTCATCTGCTGGTGCTGTTTCTCTTTGCCATCACGTATTGCGTCAATATTCTGAACTGGGTGTTCTACCTCCGATACACTGATGATAAGGTTGATGATGCTCTGATTGCCGCTCATCTCGCCTTTTCCGTCATTGGGTGTATCCTGTTTTTCTTATTTGCCTCTCCTCTTATTTATTGGTCGTACGTCGGGGCCAGTGAAATGATGCCCCAAACACGGCGAAATACGTCATGCATCGCCGTGAGTCTGTGTTTTTTTTTCCATGATCTCCCTGTGGGGTGGATTGAGCTGTACTTGGTGTGGCTCCATGGATGGAGAAGCATCCTGTCAAGTGTGTCTCTTTTTATCGTCTGGCTCTGCTTTGCTGTCGGATTTTTTGGCTCCTGGATCGGCTACATTTGGTTTCTTAGCAGGCGACTACAGTTTTACTACGGTACCCATCAATAATTGACATCGTCAATGCCATATGTGCCGGCAATGCCAGGAACATAGAATGAAGAGTCACGTTACAGAGGTCATTGCCAGAAAATCACATGTTCGAGAGAGGCTTCAGTAGAGAAGGGCATCACGTGTGTGCCTTTCTGCTGAACATTATATATATATATATATATATATATATGTCATTACTATTATTATTTCTTCTTTGTTTGACGTTTGACGCTCGTTACGGGGAAGCGTAGGTGCCATCGGGCGGGGTTGTTTTACTGGCCCCGTGTCTTCGTGCTGCTCCTCCCCGCGTACGAGACAACTTGGAGGGTGTGGATCATGTTTGCTGACGCTGTGCATGGTAGCGCTTCTCTCCTCCCCGCTACTTCACCGCAGTCTTTGTGCGTGCCTGCACAATAGCGCCAGTGTTTTGCTTTGTATGTACCCCACTTGAGTAAAATGCAGAGTGCACGCTGGCGTGTTTTCATGGAAGGACGTGATGGAAATGATTTTCTTCTCGGAGTTTCTTATCCATGTGTATCATTATATATATATATGTTGCTTCTTGCAGCGGGATGCGACGGCGGCGAAGACTGTGCCCTTTGCCTGCCGTGATTTAGCTTTTGCATAAATGCCCGTTAGTTGTCATTGCCTCCCCGCGTTCTTTTGCGTTCTTTTTTTTTTTCTTCAGGGCACTCATGTTTCGTCCAACTTGGCTTTGTTTCCCAAAGGTGGGATGTGAGGAGATCACTCGCAAGGCAAGGCGGGTGCAGCTTCGGCCCATGGAATACTTGGCACAGCACCGCATGCAGGTGTGGCAAATACGATTTAAAGAAATGGGGCCTCCCTTTTCAAGGGTTTGGGTTGCGCTCGGAGGCAAAATGCGGCGGCGGCGTATTGGGCGTCAGGTGGATGTAAAAGACTTGCGCTATTACTGGCGGCCCATTGAGCCGCAGTACCAGCGCTTGTACATGTCCCGGCTGCGTCTCCACGATCATTCAAATACGCGGAGGCAGCCGATGCGTCTGCGGGCGACTAACTACGAAATTGGACGCTCCACTAGTTGTATTGAATGGGAGAGGGCTTCGAACAGGAAGTACGGTGCTCGCCTGGCTCCACCAAAGAGGCTTGACTTTGAGTTTCGCGTTATTTGATCGACGCGCCATAGCTGAGACTGAAAAGCAAAGAAGAAGGAAAAAAAAAAGGAGTCAAGCGTTTCAAAAAGGAGCAGGAAGAAGAAACCAAAGCAAAAGCAAGGAAGAAAGATGTAGGTATACAACCATTCATTTGCACCTTCACTCCGCGTGGGAGGCGGCTTTCTTCGTTGACTTCCCCTTATTTTTCTGGCTATTGGGAGGTGGTCAATAATCACCTGAGTCTTAGCGACATAGACCCCACCCACACTACATCTGCTGCAGTGGTAGCAACAACCACGTGTTGCATTAAGAGTAGTTTTCATTGCCATCATCCTTATGACTGCAACTCCACGCATGACGCAAGGCTATATGGCGAACTCGGTGGCGTTGTTGTGGGCTTGGGAATAAAGAATGGTCGAGTGAGAGAGGGGATAGAGATTGGAGGAGGGAAAAGAATCGTTTTTTATTGCCGCTTTTTCGGCTTTGAGGCGATGGCATCCTTGGGATGCTGCTGTTGTATGTCTTTTCTCCAGCTAGGCTGTGTGCGTGGTGTGCGCCGTTGCACAGTTATGTTTTACGCCTTGCAGCGGTTTTGTTACGGTTGCCTGGCACTTTTTTGGAGAAGGCTCAGAGGGGAAGCGGGGACTTGGCTGCGGTATCAGGTGTTGTTGCTGGGAAGTGGGTGAGAGTACAACCGTCTGGAGGGGGTTCCGTAGGAGGATGGAGGCTGAGAGACCCACAATGGTGTTTGGCGCCTGCGCTGGCACGTGGGCGCAGCAGCGGGCACGTGGCGTCCCGGTTTAAACACACATTTGGGCGATGTGTCATTTCTGCACAACATTTCCATGCATTTGTCTGACCTCCATTTGTGAGATGAGGAGGTTGGCAACTGTCGGCCCACATGATGAACTACACGCAACCTGCGCATTAACGCAAAGACGATGGATCTCGGCTTAACAAAAAAAAAAAAACGTCCTCCACATGAAATGTGCATCACCTGCGCATTTTCCTTTTATTTTGCTTTGCTGGTTTTTCTCCGAAGGTGCGTCCCCTGTGAGTTTTGGTAGGTGTTGATAGAATAAGCGAAGGAGAAGGGGGTGGAGCGGAAGAAGGTAAATAGAAAAAAGAAAGAAGGCAGAAGGTGGGCGCTGTGATGGCGGCACGCGACACTTCGGCTCCTGTGAAACAGGATGTTCGTGTCTTTCAGTCCAGCATTGACACCTCCTCTATCATCTCCACAGTGTTTAATCAACCCTCCATGTACATGGGCATTGTGAACATGCTTATCATGTACCTCACACAACGCTTTCCGGAGGAGCTGATGTCTCCGCGGTACATGACAATGACGTACAACGGCATTCGTGCCCCCGCCATGCTGACAATTCCTTTTTGCTGCATCGCCGGTGCCTACTTCTCGGTAGCTAGTGTCATCTGCACCTCGACAGTTCCCTTAGCCGGCCACCTCTACGGGTACACACTTAGTCTTGGAGTTGGACTCACAATGCTCACATTTCGTCGTGTGTCGTGGTACTATCCGCTGCTTGGCGGGATGTACCTTTTTTTTGGTGGGTTTCACCATTACAGACGGATGATGATGTTTGGCGATAACGCCCCTATCTATAATTGGGGTGACGCCACTGAAATTTGGAACGCGCTTGCCGAGGCGCGAAGGGAGACACGCCGACGGAAGCAGGCGGCGGCGTAGGACGTTAGTGAATTGAGTCACTGTGTGTGGCCTGTGCAGCATGTTCGGCGGGAGGTTTCTCAAGGGAAATATTAGGGTCGTCTCTTTATTGGGTGAACTATGGCGATGATGGGTGGATGCGTAGGAAGGAAAGAGATGCCTTTTTGATGGAGAGGTGAAGTAATTTACGTGGATGTTGTGTCCCGCGTCTATTTTTTTTTTTTTCCTTTTATTTCTTCTTTGCTTTGCTTTCCCCCGTGAGATGTGCACACTGGCGTGTAGCTGTGCGTTTGTGGTGGCGGTGGTGTGGAGGGTGTGTTTGTGTGTGCTCATGTATTTGTTTGATTCTTTGAGTGCTGTGTGTTACTTCCAATCTTTTTTTGTGTTTCCCGTCTTTCCCTCTACCTGCCGCTGATGTTGTGCGTGTGTGTTGTTGTTGGTTGTTGTTGTTGTTGGTGGGGGGGGGGGAGGAAGAGGAATAGAAGGAATCAGGTGAAGGAGAGTGCGCCGCTTTGGCTGGCCGGTGTAAAATGACCACGCTCGACGACCTCTACGCATTCTACTGCCGCAGAAGAGGATGTAAACCAAACAGCTCCATCTCCAAGTACCTGCAGGAGGAGTTCACACGACACGATCAGCATCGGGTACTGGAAACCGTGGACTTGTCGAAGAACTATGTGGGTGCGAAGGGCATCATTCCCGTTCTCGACCTTGTCAAGAATGTGAAGACCGTGAGGAGACTAGACGCCAGAAACAGCATGATGGGGCACGAACAGCTGGAGCACCTTGTTTACTGTCTTGCCCTGCATCCGTCGATGGAGGACGTGGATGTGTCGGACAACGCGCTTGAAAACTCCAGTGTTGACCTCATTTTGCAGCTTCTCAAGACCAATGAAAACATCACCACCTTTCGCGTTGACGGAAATCATTTCTCACCCGCCTCCGTGTCGGTGATTGAGGAGTATCTGGGGCGGAACAGGGGACGCAAAGCGGCGCGGCAGCGGGAGGTGCTTCCGGCAGTCACAAAAAGGTTTTTCCGTGCGCAGGTGCAGGGATCGATGGAGGGGGACACCTCCGGTGGCCATGTACATTACTCGACCTGGTGGAAGAACCAACAGTACATTATGCGAACCTCACGACAAACCCAAGTCCGCATCGTCATGGATATCGATGCTCCCAAGACTTCACGACAGGCAGGGTTCTTTGTCTTTCACTCCGACGGAACACACAAAGTGATTGAGGCGGATGCGGAGCACATTGCTGCAGAAAGCAACGTAGATCACAGTCATTGTTTTGTGACCATGTGGGCTGAGGAACACGCTGCGTACTCTATCATGCCCTTTACATTTTATCCTGAACGAAGCATATCATTCACGCTGATTGCCGAGGTCTGCCAAGAGAGTTCAAGTAGGTCCGAGGCTTGGGTGACGTTGGAGCCTGTGGATCCTGCGCTGGATTGGCATGTTTACGTCATGGACGGCGAGTGGAGATACGACTCCGCCGGTGGATCTCCAGTACAGCATTTATGGTGCCGCAACCCCATGATACGTGTGCAATATGACGGCCCTATTCAGGCCCACCGAATGGCATCACCTGCCACGCTGTTTGTACAGCTCAGCAAGAATGTTGATGCGGATGTAAACGACGAGAGGCGTATTGGATTTGATGTTGTTACTCTGGATGCTACAGGAAACAACAAACCCCCCATCTACTGTAGCGACGAGGTGCGGAGGTGTACGTGTCCTCACGCGCACCGCACAACAGTTGCGGCGTCATTGGGGATAACGTGTGCCGCCCTTGACCTGTTTATCGTTCCGAGCACGGAGACACCTGGACAGTTGGGCCCCCACACGGTGTGCGTCTTTTCCTCTGTTCCCCTCCGACTGACCACATCGGTGTTTCCCCACGGCTGGAACTATCGTGCTGTCAGGGGGGCGTGGGACGAAAGCAGCTGCGGAGGGAGCCGGGAAAACAGCATGTCATGGAAGTGCAACCCCTCCGTTGCACTTCGCTTTGATGCAGACAAACCCTCTACGGAACTGATCCTCTTCCTGGAGGGATCTTTGCCCGAAGCAAGGAGCCTCGTCTGCAGCGGAGGCGGCGTAGACGGCGTAGACGCCTGCGGCCATCTCATAGATTCACCCGCAACGGAAGAGGAGAAGCAGCAGAGGCGGGAAAAGAGGGAATTGCGAGAATTCTTGCGTCGCCACAAGGTGGGTTACCTGGAAGGGTGTGTCTCCCTTGTCGAGGCCTGTCCACCGATGTACCGCGCGCTTTACTCCTCCGAGTACTCCGGGGGGTCGGTGGTGCGCCTTGTCGTGCCTGCTGTCAGCGAGGACTTTTTTCTGCTGGCCACAACACGCCACGCAGGACAGCTGGGGAATTTCACCCTTCACATCTTCTCGTCACGATCGTTCGTGGTGGACGAGGTGCGGACGTTGGCGTTACGGGAACGGGAGTACCAATTGTTGCAGGACACCCAGGCACGTGAGACAGCCGTGTTGGGGCCAGTGAAGGGTCAAGCTGGTCCGGAAGATCCCGGAGACACGGTTCTTGCACGCAATGAGATTCTTCGACGATGTATGGTGACGGGGGAAAAGTATGTGGATCGTGACTTTCCGCGTGGTGGATCCTCGCTGTGGATGGATCCCGAGGCGAAGACACCAGCATGGTGTGGGAAGGAGATCTACTGGAAACGGCCGACGGAGCTGGTTGAACACGTCACTTTTCTTCAGAACTGGAAATGTGACTGTCCCTTCCCCTTTTCGAGGCGAGAGTGGTTTGCCTCCGTCACACACGCGATTGCGACAAAGCCGAGGTGGTTGCAGGCTCTGAGTGTCAGCTACGATGTCGCGGAGGGGTTGGTTCAGTTCCGCTTCTTTAAGAGTGGCCAGTGGACAGTTGTGAGCATCGATGATTACCTCCCATGCGACAACGTAATGGAACTATGCATGGGACGCCCATCAAGAGACAAGGCGGATTTTTTTTCCCCCTTTTGGAGAAGGCCTACGCGAAGCTCCATCGCTGCTACGAGGCACTCGAACGAAAGGTTACTCCGGAACTGCGCACCATCGACGTGATGTGTCATGGCCTTATGGATCTATCAGGCTGTGCTCCAGTGCATTTTCCTCTGCGGTGTTCGGTGGAGTTGACAGTGGAAGAGCAAGGCATTCTCTGGATGAAGTTAAAGAACGCCATTAAGCAGGACTTTCTTTTTACCTTTTTGCTGCGCAGCGACACCGCGGAGGCGGCTGAGCGAGTCAGTTTGGGCATTTTGAGTGACCACCTGTACCCCGTCCTGGATTCACGCTTTGTGGAAGGGCAGCGGCTATTGAAGCTTCGCCACTGGGGGCAGGACTCGGAGATTAATTGGGGCGGCAAGTGGCGAGCACAGAGCCCAAAGTGGACCCCGGTGCTTCGCGAGCTGCTTCAGTTTGATGAGGCGGATACAGAGACGTTTTGGTTGGCTTTAGATGAGGCGTTTTTCTACTTCACGGACCTCATCATGACGGCAGGGGCACCGCACACCTCGTGGGTGTCGGCGGATTTCTCCGATTGCCCCAAAAGCAGTGGCAGCCAGCTACTGGCAGGGGCTCAGTTTACGCTGCGGCTTGGAAATTTCCCGCAGGATATGAAGCAGGTCCAGATTACGTTGGGACTCCATCAGCCGGACGCACGGGCCCGGGTCCTACGGAAAAAAGACGCTCTAGCCACGTACCGCACCGCTATTGGCTTGGCCATTGTGGCTACGGCGGACAACACCGTGTGGCAAAAGGAGATAACTGACGCAGATGTGATAAAGTGTTTAGAGCCCTGTCGATGCCGCGATCTTATGTGCCCTTTAACAGTTGACATGGAAAATGTCAAGGGAAAGGAACGATTGACACTGATTGCGTTTAGAGAAGATTCAGTGGCTGTCAATGTGCCCTTTCTGCTGTCGGCGTGGTCTGATAATTGCGAGGTGGCGTTGGCTCCGATTGTGCGGGATCTGAAGACGACAGTAAACGGGGAGTGGCCCGTGGAATACCCTGTTGGGTCACCCGCATCGTCGTTCTGGAGGGACTGTCCCCAGTACTTTATCTTTCCAAGTGAATCCACGGATGTCTTGTTGGTTCTGCGTCAAGAAGTAGCGGTGGGAGAACCACCCAAACCTATTGGCTTCACCGTTCACCGTGCGACGACATGTCGCAGCTACCTGGAGTATGACCCCGCAACAGTGATGTTGGAGGTGCAGGCAGCACCATATACGTCTGTGGAAGGGACACTGCGGCTACTCGGAATGAAGGAGCGTAGGGGAATGCCGTACATTATTGTGCCCTTCTGCACGGAAGCCACACCTGGAGGAAAGTTTTGGATGGATGCCATCGCTAATCGTTCGTTGAGGTTTTGCCGCATAGAGCCAAGACTCGACTGGCATCGTGACAGGAAGTCCGCCACGTTTACCTTGACTGACGGTAGTTTTGGTGGGTCCCCGCGTTTCTCGTCATGGCGCAGCAGTCCGCAGTTTGCTCTGACGTTTCCCGTTGGTGGTCAGGGACGACTCTTTCTTGTCCTACGCAATGACGATGTGGGCGATAAACTGACCGAGGTCGGTATGATGCTTCTGCATGGCGATAATCAGTGGGAAAACGGGCAGCGACGCAAGCTGGTCATTTCTCCTGCTGACATTGTGGCTTGTTCCGATGAAAAAGTTGGTGTCACCGTGATTGACTGCGAGATTGACGTGCAGCCTGAGTGCACGCTCATCCTAGCCGTGTACGCCTCCATGCCGTATCGCGAGGCTGCCGTGACGGTTGCGTTGTATTCCGCCTCCGCCGTGGTTGTGGCGCCGGTGAAGGAGTGGGCGCATGTTGCCGTGGCGGAGGGCAGCTGGGAGCTCGGCTACACGGCCGGTGGGGGCTCGGAGGAGTTTAGCGCCTGGATTAACAACCCCTTTGTGGCGCTGAACACGTTCCGGCGGACGCAAATTGTGGCACTGCTGCTGCAGTACCCGCGGGGGCCGGAGAAGCCAATTGTGAAGCGGGCAGGGAAAAAGAAGGCTTTCTTGCCCCCCATTATCATCAATCCAAACAACCGAATGAAGATCGCCCTGGACCTGAGCATGCAGGACACGGAACTCACACTCATCGCCACCACGCCCTACACGCAAAACAGTGAGGTGACACTCGTGGCAAGTGTTCCTGTTGCAGATCCTCTGCCCTTTCTCTTTATTCCTCACACAAAACTGCCCGAAGGAAATGGTGAGTTTAAACTCTTTGTGTATGCGGACTCCCCTATTGAGCTCTACCCGATCACGAAGGAGCGGCTGCCGTACATCTAAGACTAGTGTGGGGAAGAGGGGGTAAAGACTGAAGGGGAAATGTACATAATGGAAATGCGCTGTCCGTTTCGACGCAAGATGTACCAAAAGACAAGCAAATGAGGAAACAACAACCGTAACAAAAATGACTACATATATAACTAATAACAGCCTCCGATGCACAACGACTGTTACGTTGCGTTTGTTGTGACGTTCTCCTTTGTTTATGTGCGCATCCTTGCGCTGAGAAACGCGGGTACAAGAAGGTGAACATGTCGTATCGGGGCTTGGGGCTTGGGGCTTGGGGCGTGGGGCGTGGATGCTTTTCTGCAGCCGATGTTTTCTTGTGCGTTTTGTTCATTGACACCACACTGGTTGTTCTCCATTTTCCCATCATCTTGTTGTTTACTTTTCCCTCCTTGTAGAGTGCCCGACCTTCCAAGTTCATAACTGTGATGCGTCGAAACGTTGCTGCGCTGGAGAAGCTCGTCATCGTGGAGTCGCCAAACAAGGTGATCAAGGTTGAGGGGCTGCTGAGTGACGCGAGCGTCATCCCGGATTGGTCCTTCAAGCAGGAGCACCTGAGGCGCCTGGGCGTGGGGGCCGAAAAGGCGGTGGCGATGGCGACGACTGGGCACTTCATGGCAATGAAGGAGATCAAGTGGGCACCGCGGACCCTTGCCTTCTCGGGGGACGCGAATGAGACGCTAGCGCTGGGGGAGGAGCCATTCCCTCCCAACGGCACTCTTGCAGAATACACGCTCGAGTGGCAGATGCTGCCTGGCCGCCGCATTCAAGAAACACTAGAACGCTATCTGCAGGAAAAGTTAAACAACGTCACCGAGATTATTCTTGCAACTGATCCAGATCGCGAGGGCGAACTTATTGCTGTGCATACCCTCCAAACAATAAAACGACTGTATCCAAAACTGAAGGTTCCGTATTCGCGTGCGTACATGCACAGCATCACCGAGGATGGAATTCGTAAAGCTATGCAGGAGCGTCTTGTAGATAAGTGTGACTACGATCTTGCGAATGCAGCTGAAACACGTCATGCGATGGATCGAATTTTTGGGTTCTTGGGAAGTTCTGTGGTGCGGGCTGCCAATTCGCAGATGCGCTCCATCGGTCGTGTGCAGACACCCGCTTTGATTCTCATACACGAGCGGGAGGAGAAGAATGCAGCGTTTCTGGAGAAGAATAAAACCACGTATCTTGTGGAGGCCATGTGTCACTTTCCAGGACCCCACGGCACCACCTTCTCGCAGGTAGTCACCATCACCCCCGATCTGAAGGAGGAAGTTGTAAGTTGGGACACCGAGGTGGAGGCAAAGCGGTGCTTGCATGGGTGGAAACTAAACAGGTGTAGTGACTTCAGTGTCCCTTACGAGCCGCTCATTGTCCCGTCCGAAGTGCCCCCGCCACAGCCATTCACGATGGCCACGGCCATTGCGAGGGCAAATCGTCAGCTAAAGATGAGCAGTGAAACAGTAAGCAGCTGCTTGCAGGATCTTTTTCAGCTTGGCTACATCACCTACCCGCGAACAGACAGTACCCGCATTGACGTGAGCGCCTTGACCGCCATCTACGCCACCATCAAGAAGGACTTTGGCAAGGAGATGCTATACCGCCTTGAGGACCGGACGGCTTCTGCGCCAGAAGGCAGGAAGTCCAAGCGGTCAGGGAAAAAGAAGTCCGCCAAGCATGCCAAGGTGGCGGAGCACCTGGTTGGGAATGTGGAGGATGCACATGAGGCTATACGTCCGACGAGCATTCACGCCGATGGGAACTCGCTCTCACTCCCCCCGATTACAAGGGCGGTGTATGACCTTGTGCGCTGCAACACCTTGGCATCGTTTATGATTCCCATGAGGAGTGAAAAGATTACCGCCACCGTGAAGTTTACCAGTGGCAGTGGAGATAAACTGCGTGTTGTGCTGGAGGGGAAGCGTGTAGTGGAGCCCGGGTGGATGCGCGCCTTTCAAAAAACGGATACAACGGCTGTGCCTGCCGCCGCCACGACCACCACCACTAGCAGCACCATCATTAATAACCGTAACGCCACTAGCGCCAATACTCCCGCTGAAGAGGAGGAGAATGAAGATATAACGGAGAAGGAAGGTGCTCCTGTTATTCGTTCTCTCTCGCAGGAGGAGTTCAGGGCTATTGCGCAATTGCGTAGTACGTTGGCCACCTCGAGGCAGCCACGGGAGTTTGACTTGCGTTCTCCCACCGTCCGTGAGAACCGCCCGGTGCCACCGCTGCCGCACTCGGAGGGCACACTCATTGAGGAGCTGAAGAACAATGGCGTGGGCCGCCCAAGCACGTACCCCATGATTGTGAAGACGCTGCTGACACGGGGGTACATTGAGGTGAACCCCAAAGGCCGCTGTGAGACAACTCCAATTGGCCGCTTGCTGGTGTCGACGGCCAAGTTAACCTTTCCCTCCATTGTGGATATTGGATTTACCGCCTCCTTTGAGAAGAAGCTGGACCTCATTGCAAAACCGAACCCTGAGAAGCGGCCGAAGATGTTGCGTGGAACCAACGTATCCCAAGCCGACTATTTCCTCTCTATGTTTCTCTCGACGTTTCTTAATTACGTTGCGGAGGCCACGCGAACGCAACGGGCCAACATTGTGGAGCGTTCCATGCGGTTGAAGCATGAGCAGCAAGAGGGATCCGGCCAGGACAAGGATGAATTTGAGGAAAGTGTGGCTAATGCGAGGAAGAAGGTGGCACTTGCCACAGGAGACTTGGCAGCGTTCCCAAAGACATACCACAACTTCACGGCACTGCAGCGTGGCTTGCATGACTATCTCCGTCGCCACTTTCCCCCCTCGCGACTCAGCTCACTCACCCCCACCCTCACCAGCGCGGACGGGAGCAAGGCGACGATGAGGATGGACGGCGCTTCACCGCACATGACGTCAAGAAAACACAAGTGGGAAAAGAGCGAGGAGGCATAATGATGCCGAGTCGCTCAAATGTAACTACTATTCTTCTTGTTACTGTCATTATTGTTTCCTTCAGGTGCGGACATAGAGAAATAGAGAATGAGAGCAGCAACTGCTCCTCGGGTGATGTGTTAGGCCATGCTTCTAAACCATCTCCGGTAAACGTCGTAGAGAAGGAGAGCGAGAGAGGAAACTCGACGACATGCCTGTCCGCGATGACGGGTCGGGCCCTGTCGTTAGGTATTTGTTTTCAGACACTCAAAATATCACATATTGGTTTGTTCGTTTGTTTGTTTTTTTCTGTTTCTGCCTTTGGCGCGTGTGGTGCGGGGAAAGCGTTGTATTTCTTGCACCGAGTGACCTTGAGGCATAAGCAGCAGCAGTGGTGGTGGGGCCTGTGAATGGGCGGCCAAGGCGAAGGAGGCTAAAAAGTACGATAACATCAAGTGCAGCAACAAAAAGAAAAGTAGAAGAAGAAGAAAAAAACGTTAGGAGGATATATATATATATACTCTTTTGTTGGTGTCTGTCTGCCTGTGTGTATGTATGTCTTCAACGCGGCATCTGCAGCCACACGTGTTGCCTTCCTTATCTTCACTGAGGCTGGCGAATCTCTTCGCCTGCCGCCATGCTTGCGTGTTGCTTATCGCGTTTGCAACCATGCGGTGTTTGCCACTCGCCCCTTTGCATGTGAGCTCAGCACTTCTTTTCACTTTTGTCTTCTTTTTTTTTTTGCCTCACGCGGCTCTCTTCCTCTGCCGCCCAAACACGCTAGCACAGAGTCGGAAAAGTAGACGGCGTGTCGTTGCCGTTATTTGGAGGAGGAGGGTGCGGCCGAAGCAGAGAGGCGGGTGGTGGACGTGGCAAAAGGCGAGGGGGGAACCGGACGGCGTCTCTCAGCAAAGAGAACTGCCAGCGGGCAGAGAGCGCGGGGGGAGGATAAACAGAGGAAGCTTTTCGCCTGCCTGTCCCACGCGGCAAGACGGCGCAACGCGCGCGTAAAAGGAAACACAAAAGCCACCGCAGCAAGACGGAGAAAAGGACCACGCACCTGCCGTTGGCGAGAGACGCATCGTTGTTTTTTTTTTTTTTTTTTTTTTTTTGTTGTGTGTGTGTTGTTTTGTTTTTGAGCGGGTGTTCACACCCAAATTTTATTGGGTTGCAAGGCGGCTGGTGGGACACAGAAAAGGTTTTGTGAATGGCTTCTGAAGCGCAGCTCGCGGTAAACTCTTCCTCGGGGGCCGCAACTTTTTCCTCATCCGCAGGGCTTCATATCGATATCCCCAACTTGCCCATGCGTCGGAGTGCCAGGAATCAGCGGAACATGGCCGTGGAACGGAATCTTCAAATAAAAACCTTGTCAACAACGAACTCAAGGAATAATGCCACTGCAAGCCCCTTGAATGCCGAAGATTTAGGGAAACAAATGGCGGCGACGGAAGCGAGCAACAAAATATCCTCTCGGGCGTTATTGAGCGCTACAGGTCTCCGAACTGTGCGCAGCGTGTCGTGCATGGAGATTGGTGTGGGCGAGAGCTCCCCGGATGCGTCTACGAGGGAGATGGGAAGCGTTCGTACCTCGCTTTTGGATATGGGGCAGATAAGGGAACGGAAAGGTTCAACAACCATAGACACGGAGACTAGCGGAAAGGGGAACTTCCACAATTTCATGAAGAAGAGCACAGTTATTGGTGCTCGCTCCCCTGTGTCACCTGATGCACCGCAGTTGGAGGACACAATGGAACCGAACACAATATCGCTAGAGGGGATGTTGCGTGAGGCCTCAAAAATTCATGGCATTCGTCTGAGGTGGGTCCTCTATGGTGTCATGTTGCTGACCATGACAATTTTTCTGTTCCTGATAGGGGAATTTCGTTCCCTAGTGAAAGACACTGTTGTTGTTCCAGAAGAGGAATCCGTCGTGATCTCATCGGCTACCGCCGTCAATCAAGTGGAGTGGCTGCAACAGGCTGTGAGGAATACTTTACATGGCTTCGATTTAGCACGCAGCTCCCTCGACCATGCCTTGATGAACCGCACCCTTGAATTTCTTTGCAGAAGCATCGGTGGAGCTCCTTTAGTCTTTGCAACATATGATGGTCATATGGGTGCGCCACGGAGGGCGTCGTATAGGTGCTCCACTTCCGCCTTTGCTTCAGTTGACGCTCCGCTCTCGATGAACATCTTACATGAGCTGCCGAGGGGATTTCCATGTATGGCCGTTTACCGCTCTGATTATATTATTGCCATGATGAATTCAACAGCTGGGTCTGAAGTTATTACGGTTATTCTGCAAAAGGAGCCTGTGGGACGTCTGCTGCTTGCAAACTATATGCCAAACTATAGCGCGTTGACATTACGGCACCATGCCATTTCCTTCCTTTTTCCAGAGTTTGCATCCTCAAATATTGTCGTCGCTATGCACACTTTAGACCAAACCTACACGAGCTACGCTGTGGCGCAGCCAACTCCACTGGGTCAAACTTTGCAGAACTACTTCAAACGTATTTGTGCCGTTGGGCAAGCTCAAATTTGGCATACTGTCGTGCGGCCCTACGTGAATGCGTCACGTACGTTGGAATATGATGCGCAGGGCTCCCACAATATGATGCCTGATCCCCACGTAGAGTACAAGGGGGTGTGGGGGAGTGTTTCACGCGTGGCTATTTGTGGTGTTGTATGCTCGCACCCTGAAGAAAATGAGTGCACCACTGCGAATCCCACAGGTGTCTGGTTCATCGTCGATGATAGGCCATTAAGACAAGAGGCTGAAATGGCGTTGGTTGCCGTTTCCATCGTCGGTGTTTTCGCTTTGTTTCTAATCTTGGCGGCGCTTGTTACTGCGTACCTGAGTATCAGCGTCCCTTTGCACCATTTGACATCACTCATCTTCAACACGATGGGGGACAAGCGGAATAAGACGATGCAGCAGCGCTGGATCTTTCGATACACACGGTATTTCTGGCCAGGGGACCTGCAAGCGTTGGTGCGAACGTTTCAGCTGCTTTCTTTTTGCTTTCATTTTAACAAGAAATACGTCCCGCAGCATGTGCTTGAGCAGCAGGTGCGTGCCTTGCAAAATCGCAAGGATTACTTGTGGCGCACCATCGTTGAGGAGATTGAATCAGAAGAGGAGAATGAAGAAGAGGGGGAGGAGGATAACATGGACACCGGGGCTAGTGATCCTGTGGATATGGAGGTATTTGTCAAAACCGTTTCTGTGGCTGAAAAGGCTACCGCTATGGGCCAGTTAAACGGGTCTCATCGGTTGTTGCCACGTGAAAGCAGCATGTATGGCTGGATTTCCCCAGATACGGAGGCCTGCGAGAGAGCTGGAAATGTGGCCTCGGGACACAGCGGTGTCGAAGTGGGTACACGCGGCATGAGTCTGGTGGAAGGGGCCACGGTCCTTGTCGTCCGTCTCCGTGCTGTAGAGTTGGCGTACTTCACCAACTATAGGGCTGCCTTGAAGCCGCATCGCCGTATAATGAATTTACTCCTTGGACGAATTCGTCGCTACCGTGGGGAGTTATTTGAGCGTTCCGGGGAATGTATTGCGGCCGCGTGGAATGCCTTTGAAAGCCGCACGGATCACACTGAGCGAGCCGCTGCTTGTGCGTTAAGCATTGCCAGAATGCTGTCAAGCTACCGCGAGGCTGGGTTTTGTGTGGGCATTGTGCTGCACCAGGGTCCACTCATTTGTGGTGTGGTGGAGGACAACAAGGAGGCCTTTACGACCGTTTTTGGCACAGTGCCCCGTCAAGCCATTGCGCTTGCCGAATTGGCGTCTTCCCTTTCCTACTTTAGTGTCCTTGTGTCAGAACCGGTGAAGCAGTCGCTGGCCTCACGCTATGAATGCATTATGGTGGATGTCATTAAGTACCATGTGGAAGACAATCCCATTGTGATGTTTGAGCTTTACGAGGAGCGGCGAGCAACGCTAGTAAAAGGGACACCGTTGGCATCGTCGGCATTCGCGGAGGAGCATGCACGCGTGTTTTTTGACTTTAGAAATCACGAGTTCACGCGTGCTATGATAGGTATTGCGCAATTACGCGCCCGCTTCCCTGGACACGGGCGCCGGCTGCTGGACCGTCTTGAGATGCTCTGCATGTACTACATGCACCACCAAAATGAACTGCCGATGCCGTACTTTCGTCCATTCCCCATCTGGTCAAACTTTGAAGCCATTGCGTGCACGGATTGCCTTCCTGGCATGTGCGCTCATGGCAGTAAAGAAGACTTCTTCTTGGATGCACCGCAGTTCCCGCAACCTCCCAAGTTGATATATGACGATGACACAGTGAATTTCCGTCAGGAGCTCCACGACAATGTCCTCGCCTCCAAGCGAACGCATAGCTCATCGCCCACGGTGAAGGCAATAGGTCATGTATCTCCCAAACATGCGGAGATGAGCATCAAGGGGTCACCTTGTGTATCTTCCAGGTTAGGTTCCACGCAAGCTGCGCCACATTCGCCAACGTATTCGGAATTGCTAAAGGGAATTGGTGGTAAAGCAGAGTCTGAAGAAAACCGTACCAAATTTTTTCTAACTGTGGCGGCACATTCGCCGCATGCGGAACCAACTGAGCACTCGGCAGAGGTCAGTCATAGGAGGGAGGTTGGTGTGAACGCGGAAGACGAGTACAAATATGGAGGGGTGTCTGCGCTTTCCATCCACACACCCACCAACACTTGTGCCACAGCTAACGTTTTCGAATCTGGGAGTGAAAAGAAGGATGCTTGTGGCGACGAGGAAAAAGATGCAGCTGGACGGCAGCGCTTTTCCTTTACCAATCGCATGGAATCGGTCGCTAAGGCGGCTCGCAGTTGCAGCTTCATCCATGGCGCAGATTCATTTACATCCGGTAACAGCGAAACGATGGGGAACGCCCCCACTCTCTCCTTTGGTGACATTGGCGGGTCTTTCACGAAAACGACTTCTGAGATCCCAACGGAAATCGTTGCCAAGAATGGCATCACCTACCTACGAAGCTCCCGCATTCTTGGTAGAGGCTCATTTGGGTGTGTCTACCTTGGCATGGATATTCTCAGCGGTCGCATGGTTGCCATAAAGTTTCTGCCGCTCCCCTCGGAGGAGGAGGAGATCGCCAACGTGGAGAGGGAGGTGGTTACGATGCAAAAGGTTAAGAGTAATCAAGTGGTGGAATTTATTTCATACGCTTTCAATAGCAATCTTATTATTATCGTTATGGAATGTATGCTGGCGGGTTCACTGCATGGGATACTTTCCGCCTTTGGTAGTATCCCCGGTACAACGGCTCGCCTCTTTATTCGAGATGTGCTGCGTGGTCTTCACAAGTTGCACTCATTGGGGGTTATACACCGTGACGTGAAGCCACAAAATGTTCTTCTTACGCTTGCTGGCAACTGCAAAATTTCAGACTTTGGGGCTTCAGCCTTCCTACAGGAACTTGTCCGCCGGCAGAGGGAGGGGAAGGGACTTCAGGTGTTGGGGACACCGGTGTACTTGGCGCCGGAGGCTGCGCGAGGCACACCGGAGGAGAAGAGTGACATATGGAGCTGCGGCATCATGTTCATTCAGCTGTTGACGGGAAGTTTACCGTACGAAAAACAATTTCTCGAGATGCCGCCGGAGGTTCTTGTCTTTCAGATTGGCAGTGGCGCGGCGAAGCCCATCATTCCCGACACTCTGGACGCGTTCCATGCCGAGTTTGTTTGCAGCTGCCTAAAAGAGGACCCGAAAGAGCGCCTTTCAGCGCAGCGCCTGCAGGAGCTGCCGCTCTTCGCGCTGTAGCTGTTGGGAAGGCGCATGGGCCTGCCTGTGCGTGAGAAGAACACGATCGTCAGCACGGGGCATGTGTGGGGCGATTGGGACGAGAAAGCGGCGCTGAGGGGACTGGTGCGTCCCTCCCACTCACCTGCCCGCCACAACTTCGCAAAAAAAAAAAAAGATCCGCTATCCACAGCCAATGCGTACTCCATCTGGTTGGTTAGTAAGTCAATAAATATTAAAAAAGGAGAACAAAAACAAGAAAAAAATGGAAGTAGGCGTCAGAAGAAGAGGAGGGAAAATATATATATATATATATATTCTGAGGGAATAAAAAGGGGATGGGGT